ATGTACAAATGTGCTTTGCCCAATTGGTGTATGTATGGATTTTGATAAGAGTTATATGAGCCCCTAATGAAATGAGTGGAGTGAAAAATAAAGTACATTTAATTGGCAAAATTAAAAAAACATAAATTCAACGAAAAGTGTTTTTTTCTGTGAGGTGATCCTATAGATATTTGAAATAAAAAATACTCTAAAATAAAGAAATAATTTTCATTTTGTGGAAAAATAATATTGATAATAATAATGCCACCCAGGGGAAATGAAGAGACAATTCATACACCAAGAAATGCATTTATTCTTCATTCAACAAGTATCTAATGACTGTTGACTAAAGAAGAAAAGTTTTCAATTGCACTAGAATTCATCAAAGAAAGCATAGGAAAGCAACACAAAAAGACCCATTGGTTTTTTGCCTATTAAATTAATGATTAAGAAGTAAACCCCAGTGCTGGAAAGAACACAATGAAATAGTCACTTACATTTAGCTTTGTAGGAGTGTAGCTGGTACAGTTTTTCTAGGGAGTAAACAGGAAAGCATATTAAAAGCTTTAAAGTGCTTATATCCTTGCAATCATCAACTTAATTTTATTTTACTTTTTATTACGGTTTGGCTGAAAGTTTACTGAGCAAATGAGTTTTCCATTCAACAATTTATCCACATTTTGTTTCAGAATATTGGTTATAGTTCCTTCAGAGGACAGCTGCCTTACTACTTTCTCCAAGCATGCTCGTCATTTGACCTTTCCTGCCCCATGTGCATCTGAGCTTGCTGTTGGGCAAATGCTACCCTATTGGTCATTTTGTAAGGTTAATTATATTGAGAAAGACATTCTTTTCCTAATGTTATTCACTTTATAGGCATGTCTCTTGTTTAGCTAACGAGCCTTGGTGGCATAGTGGGTTAAGCATTAGGCTGCCAACCACAGGTATTTGGTTCAAACCCACCAGTCACTCAATGGGATGTAATTGAGTCTGTTCCCTTAAAGATTTCCAGTTTTGGAAACCCTAAGGAAATCGTAAGGAGAAGTTGTACTCCGTCCAATAGGATCTCTATGTGTTATCAAACACTCTGTAGGAGTGGGTGGGCTTTGTTTGACTGAAAGTTGATTCTGGGTGTGGGGTTCCGTTTCAGGCTTGCAAGGTATTTAAAGGTCATAGTTTCTAGAGTTCTACTTGTTTCTATCAGATGAAAATGTCTGTGTGTGTGTGTGCACATTTAATTTATGATTTTCAATTCTATTTTGTTTTCCCTTCTTTCCACTTTTCTAGGACCTTTTACTGTGATCCTGAGTAGAGCTGTTAACCAGGCACCATCTATAACCTGGTCACAGGATCACAGAGTCTGATTCATGTGGTTGATTATTCCTTTGAATTGCTTTCTTGAATCTTTGTTTTTCTTCACTCTTTTTACTCTGGGTTAAGAGAGATCAATAGTTGCAGCTTAAATGGCTGCTCTCAAGTTTTTAAGACTCCAGTAAATACTCACCAAAGTAGAACATAGACAAATTATCTTCTCTCACAAAATTATGCCATTTTACCTAGGTGTTCCCTCCGCCTATGGTCCTCAGTCCTAAAGCCCAGTGACTCATTCTCTCCAGTTGTTCAGTTATGGCTGAGAAGTTTTGATAACGTTGCCCGTATTTTCTACAATACCTTTGAATATATTTGCAGTACCATAAGTATATATATATCTATATATATATATCTATATGGAGTACCATAAGTATAATAATTGGTCATAATTACCCTTCCTCATAAATTACTATGTACAACAAAACCAAAACCCACTCTGGTGCTATACCATCCTTACAATTGTTCTGTTGTTGCATCTACTGGGTCAGTCCATCTCATTAAGGGTCTTTCTCTTTTTTTGCTGTGCCTCTATTTTGCCAAACATGATATCCTTTCCCAGGGTCTCTCCTGATAACATGTCTCGCCTTCCTCATTTCAAAGGAGCATATTGGCTGTACTTCTTATAAGACAGATTTGTTAGTTCTTCTGGTGGTCTATAGTACTTTCAATATTTTTCATCAGCACCATAATTCAGAAACATCAATTCGTCTATGCTCATCCTTATTCACCGTCTCACTTTCACATGCATATGAAGTGAATAAAAATAGCATGGCTTGGGTCAAGTGCTCAGTAGTCCTCAAAGAGAAATGCTTTCTGCCAAACTTACACATACAGCTTCTGAAATCTTAGGGGACAACTCTAACCTGTCCTATAAGGTTGCTATGAGTCAGAATTGACTCAATCACAGTGGGTTTGATTTTTTTGTTCATTAATCCTATTGGTTAAGTGTCAATCCCCCCTCGCCTTTTTTTTTTTTTTTTTTTGAGAGAGAGATCAGAAATTTCTTGGACCATATAGTTAACAGTAGTAAAGCTGGGATTGGACCCCATTTGCTAGTAAGTTGTTTGAATCTCAAATCATAAATTATACTATATTTGGTCTTCTACATAAAGAGAGACTGAGCTGAAGTTTCCAAGTTCAGTTAAAAATTTTACAGCTTATTTAAATTTGGTTCTTGCTCACAGATAGACATGTCTCCCTATTATTTAAAACTAGGTAAATAAAATGCTTCAAACATAATTTCATAAACCCAGTAAGAACTATACCGGTTTTACAGCCATTTCTTTTGGAAAGTACTATTTATATAACCCCTAACTTAACAGTTGACCAACCCATCTTGTCTTACTATATTTTGAATTTAGCAGGAATCGATTTAGCAAAGTGTTGAAACCTCTAACTCTTAATATTTGTGGCATAGTAAAAGAAACAGATTTGGGGCTTTTAGGTGTGTGCAGCATACAGCCTGTCCAGGAATTGGCACTATTGATTATTGGTTTCACCAGCAGTTTTGCTGACAGGGATCGTGGCTTGCCAGGGCAGATAATTTCTACCAAGTGGAGATTTTTTGGAGATAGCCTTCAGCTGTTTTTATATTAGAAATGCAATAACTAATAATAATAATAGCTAACATTTATTAAGTTCTTATTATGTGCCAGGCATAGTTCTAATTGTGATCGGTGTGAGTGGAATACAGATAATACAGGGATACTGTTTCAAAAGTTTTCTCCAATAAAATGTGTATAATTTAAGATTATATGTTTTAGTTTTTCTTCTAGATTGATTTATCCTTTCAATTATTAGTAGGACACAATTGGTAAAATTATGTAAGCATATAATAATCATTAATTATAAAAAGTAAAATTTATAAGCAGTGTGGCTCTTGGTGAGTTGTTTGGGTAGTTGCTGAGATTTTTTCTAAGTGCCATGGGAAACATTATTGGTGCCAATCTTTTGATAAGTCTCTGCTTAGAGTAGTGGTTCTCAACCTGTGGGTCACAACCCCTTTGGGGGGGGGGGTGTCAAACAACCCTTTCACAGGGGTCGCTTGATTCATAACAGTAGCAAAATTACAGTTTTAAAGTATTAATGAGAATAATTTTATTGTTGGGGGGTCACTACAGCATGAGGAACTGTATTAAAGGGTCGCGGCATTAGGAAGGTTGAGAACCACTGGCTTAGAGTCTTAGTTTTCACACTTAGGTTTTATGCCTAGGGCTATTAGATACCATGGTAGTATCTGGGTGGGCGAGAAATACTGTATGTCTCTTTCCTATGAGGGGCTTCACAAAGTTCATGGAAAAATTTCATTCTTTTAATTCCATTTTTTGATGATTTTTTTTAAGCTACCTTGTATAAAGTATGAGAAACGTGACAAGAGATAGGAAAGGAAGACTCCTACAGCCCTTAGTCCTAAGTTCTCAGAGTGATAATGTTTTAGAAAAGAGTACCTGTGACTTTCAGGTAGGGAAAAATCTTTCATGTCCTGGGGAAAATGGTTCTTTGATTTGCTTAGCAGGAAAGAGAGCAAGCAAAGGCAGGAGGGGTTGTACATCTTCAAGTGTGAATGTCAAATTCTCTGACTAAATTGGTTCCTCGGTGGTTTGAGCAGTTGATGATCATCTGCTAACTTAGGTTGGCACTTTGAACCTACCCAGTGGTGCTTCAGAACAGCTTGGCGATGAGCTTTCTTAAGGATAACAGCCAAGAAAATTCTATGGAGCTGTTCTACTCTGTATTACACGGTGTCATTGTGAGTCAAAGTGGACTCGATGGCAAAGTTTATTTTTTTGTATGATTGGTTGGTTTTATTGTGGTTTTTTTTTTTTTAATTAACTAAGTTGCAAGTAGATGTTTTAAGCTTCCTTTTCAGAGGTTGGCTTGGCTGCTTATGGGGACTTGGATGCTCAGCTTCCTTGAAGCCCACGTGTTAGAACTGGAGCCGGGGAGTATGGTCAGATGCCACTAGGGAAGAATGTCCCCTGTGAGCAGAAGCTGAAGAATCAACCAAGGCTGACAGGGGATTGTGGCTTTAGAGT